TTGAATTTTACCATTTCCTATTCTCACTCTCTGTCTCTTTTTTTATTTTGTCTTAACAATGGCATCATCTTCCAAACTGAATACACTGTCCTCAGTCTACTTCAGTCTACTTTGTCTCATCTTGCCCCCTATATAAATGTAACATAATGTATCTGGTAACATAGCCCTGGACACAAAATTCTCCAAGTCAATGTCCTCCAGTGAATCAACTGCTGCCATGTATATGAAGATACTATTCTCATTATTGTGGCATGTCAGGTCTGTTTTGATAAAACTTCTGCCTTTCTTGACAACCTGATCCCACCCTGTGCACATACATGTCAACCATGTTTATGAGTGAAAGTTAACTATTTGTGGGTCTTAGCTTTTGCAAAAGGGAGTTTCCCTGCCTTGAATATCTGCCCTGCTCTTTGATGGATTAGAGGATGCTCAGGACCACTGAAAATCACAAAAGAGTGAAACCTTCATTTATTTCTCCTACATGCTTCCCTTGGCATTGAGACATTATCTTCTTGGTTATGGCAGACATTTCTTGTATTACATTTTTAAAATTTTCTTTTTCCTATTATGTTGTGAATCTTTCACAGGCAAAGGTTTTATTTTACTCACTTTTTATCCTCAGCCATCTATTTTAAGTGAATCTTGTAAAATAAATAGTAATTGAGCATTAATTTTCTTCTTTCATAGTTTTGCAAAGAACCTTCTTAATAATCTTTATTGTTATTCTATGCTGCATTTCCCAGCAAAAAGTAATTTTTCATTAATTAAACACTTCTTGAAATTATTTATATGTGCATTTTGGGTATCCTTTGGGGCCATTTATTTTTTCTGTGAATAATTTTAAAAATTCAGGGAAGTACACACAAGAGTAAGATTAACAATGACCACCCCAATCATATCATAAGATTTTGTCAAAATTTATTAGGATTAATTTTAAAAGAAGGAAATATTAAGAATACATTATGTATTCTTCAGTACATGTCTGCAGGCTATTCCCCGTCCTCTTTCACCATCCTGAATTTGATGATTTCTCCTAAGGATTATACATTCTTCCATGTATGCCACATGCATTACTTATTTCTCCTAAAGTACCTGTTATCAACCTTCTTGTGTTTTGCCTCTGAATAAATCTATATAGAACATCTTCTTACTTTTGCATATTACTGTAGGTATTTCTCATGTCAAATATTTAGCTGGTAAACAATTATTTTGAGGTAACTAATGGTGGATATTTATGCTAGGAGCTCTTTAACTGTTCAGAGTTCAATTTTGGTTTGCAGTGAATCAGGGCAGTGAATTCCAGTGAGTTTGTTACTTCACTGGAAGCCTGTTAGACTCTCAACCTGCATTTGTCAATGGAAAGTTTGGGCTCTGCCTTCACAAATGATAGGTATCTTTTCCTTATAACTAGCAATAGCTATGCATGACCATATTTAATGTTGATGAAATATTTTGGAAAAAGATCGATGTTCTACATTACTAAAATGAAAAATAATTTGTTTGTTAAAACATACTGCACCTAACATGCAATAGATACTGTAGTAAGCACTCGTGACATAATAGTGAACAGAAATGGTGCAGTCCCTGTTCTTTGTGGAGCTTACATCCTGGTTGTGGAGACAGACCACATACAAAACAAAAAGTAAGGAGAATATATTAAGGCATTAAAATAATGGCAAAGTTGAAAGGTACCATAAAAAGTGTCAGAGAGCAAAAATAAAAGAAGACAGCTTACGTTACATAGGGGGAATATGAACTCCTGCTCTGAAAAGAGAACATTTAGATTGAGACTTAAATGCAGAGAAACAATTAACCAAAGAGAAAATGCGAAACAATAGCCATTTTGAAGGCTCTGAGTCAGGACAGATCTTGGTGTGTCAACTAAGAGTGATGAGGGCCAGGCCCTACAGCTCATGCCTGCAATCCCAGCACTTTGGGAGGCTGACGAGGGTGGATCACCTGAAGTCAGGAGTTCAAGAACAGCCTGGCCAACATGGTGAAACCCCGTCTTTACTAAAAATACAAAAACTAGCTAGGCATGGTGGTGAGCACCTCAGGAGGCTGAGGCAGGAGAATCACTTGAACCCCGGAGGCAGAGGTTGCAGTGAGCCAAGATCACAACACTGCACTCTAGCCTGTGGAGCAAGAGTGAAACTCCATCTAAAAACAAAACAAAAAAAAAAAACAAAAATGAAAGTATGATCAAGACTGAAGAGTGAATCATGGTACCTGAAATTCACAGAGACTCAAGTTGCCGCAGATTATAAATTCACTTGTTTACTCTGTAACATACATCCCTTCAGTGGATCAGAATGTTGTAACAGGCATTAGTAGCACAATTCCACCCTGTTCGAAAAACAAACATAATCAGAAGATACTATAAAATGCCTTCACAAATCAGAGTCACAAGATTAGAATATCCTGTATTCTACTGGAAATAGCCTACATTCAAATAATCTCTCTAGCCACCCCTCCTCTCCATTTATTTCTTTCCCCTTTCCTTTGTTCACTTCCCTTTCCTTCTCTAAGGAAAAGCCAACTTATAACCAAAGATTGAGTTTTGATCATGGAATTCTAGAAGATTGTGTTGGATGTGTCAAATATCTATACTTATTGCACTAAAATAGTTCATTAGCACATGTGGGTTGTTTACAGCTTTTGAATCATCCATATTGAAATCCTAAAACAAAACACAACAAAACAAAGTAATTCTTTACTAAGGATCCCTTTCCTAGGCCTAGACACTATTGGATGTTCCTCGTCAGGGTTTGGCTTGCTGATTTTCCTTTTTCTTAACATCCACAGCAGGAGAGTATCATCCCAATGCATACATTATTTAGCTATGTTTATGATAACAGTAATCCATGAAACCATTTCTTTTTATAAAAACAACTTTTCATATCTATGTTCTGAGTCTTAGGTGTTCTCTTACTACTTAGAGCTTTGAGGCTAACCTTATTTTTCATATCAGTTCTTAAGATACCTCCCTATAGCTACTAGGCACTGATGATACCCCTTACCCTTTACTTGCCATTTGGCATATAGGAAATGTTATTCATATCTGTAGCATCAATGCCTTCACACATTTTTGTCATTTCTTGGACTCTAACTTTACTACTTAAACTTAGGAGAATCATTTCACCTTCTTCTCTTAGGCTAAAAGCTACCTTCACAATTTAATTTCTCTTCTCTGGACATTTTAGATCAACAGCTATAACAAAGTTTTATTCAATTACTAATTGATTAAATGTAATTGTGTGATTAATTTGGTGTGGATAAAAGGGAAAAAGCATTGGACCTCATCTCTACAATTGCTTTCTAATAGTATATATAATTCAGTTCCAGGACCAGCTACATAATTTGTGATGCCTAGTCCAAAATGAAAATATAGGGCCCTTTGTTTAAAAAATAATTAAGATTTTTAAAGAAAGCACAAATAAAACATTAAATTAAGCATGGATGTCTTCTCAACTCAGAGTCCTATGGGACTTTGTATACTCAGAAAGCTGCTCCTGTGCAGGTCTTTGGGGTAGGCAGCATCTGAAAATAAGTTTATAAATTTATTTCTTTTCAAATGGAATCTATAATAGAATTTCAAAAATACAGTTTTAGTGATAAAATAGTATATACAACAAAGCTTAGTGAATATATTTCTTTGGGGCACTATAACTATGCCTTTGGCACGGAGTATTCTGGTGAATGGAAATGTGTTTAACAAGAAACTACTGTTAGTTTTAAGTTTATCATTGACTATGGTATAATGACTTGATTGAGCTTGAGTACTCAGAAACGAGATTGCTTGGATTATAAAACTTTGCTCTATCTACTCTACTAGCTGTGGGTCTTTGACAAGTTTGCTTACCTTTCTTTGAATCAGTGTACACATGCAAAGGGATAATCTACAACATAGGTTTGACATGCAGATTCTGATATTTCACATGCTTTAAAGAGTACCTGGTATGTAGTAAGCATTCAGAATCTACCCTGTTTTATCAAAATCCTTTCTATTTTTTATTCTTGCCTTAATGGAAACAATATCCCGGACATAGTTTGCTCTCTTTATTGGTTATTAATTGATATCTAGTATAATATGAAAAATATTTCATCTTATTGTTTGTGTAGAATTACAAATCTGACAGCTAATGGATAAGACATTTAGCTCATGTTGATAAAAAATTAATGATGTGTTTCCTTCTACTTCAAGAGTAGTGAAAAGATTTTTGTGTTTACATGTTTTTGTTGACCCTCTTCCCCATCACCATTTGTCTTATTTAAAATAAAGGATGTAAATCATCTGGCTAATAGAGCACTCCAGTTAATTGTATTACAGTTATTATGTTACATAATTTTAGAATCCAATTTAGTTCAGTCATAGCATTTCATGCATTCTTAAATACATTTAAAAGTAAGCTTGTTTGAAAGTAATCCATTGTAATTAATTCAAGTTATTTTATTTTTATGTCACTGAATGATAAAGCTTTTTATATTAATTGGAATTATGTTTATTTGTAATTACCAAGCTGTTTTTTGTATATGGAGAAGATACACTGATTTACACTCTATAAATTGAATCTTTACCATCAGGAGATAATATCTGAAATATTTAGTTGAGACATCAAATTTAGGATTATATCAAACAACAACCATACTTTATTTTTAGTACTGGTAACACATTTATTGTAAGCTAATTTGCTTAAGATATTTCCTAAGAAAGTATTCATTTTGAGCAATATAGTCTTAAAATGAGGATGCTCTGATCAGGTATGGTTTCCAAGTAAGAATATCATAATACTTCCATGCATTTTGCATTTAGGATGGTGAAAACCTATGAAATAACTGAGCATTATAGTCATTGTGGTTGCAAAAGTTGACAAGAAAGTAAAACCTAGTACTCCCGAATTTATGACAACACTTCCAAACCATACCATGTACTCAAACCCTTCTCTCTCTTGTGACTCTTATTATATAATGTCTATATTCAATCTCTTTTCTCATATCAGACAGTATTACTGAAGTCTTCACTAACATCTACGTGACCAGTTTTGGCCCTGTCTCAGATACAGATATGGTGAGTTTTTTCATTAAATAGTATTTTTACTTCACATAATGGGAAATGGGGGGTAATTTAGAATAAACTGGCATTTTTAGTGTTACAGAATTGTGTATATGTCTCATGTTTATTTAGTCTACCCAAATACATGGAGAGTTAAAGATGTTTGGGTTTGTGGTTTTCACTTCCAACTTGAGTGTTTGGATTAGCCCTTTATGTTTTATATTATTTTTACAACATGTCTACCTAGCTACAGTGTAATAACAATTATTTAAATAAAATTAATTGCATTACAGAGAAAAATTTTCTAGAAAGATTAAGGCAGAAGTGTGGACTTTCATAAGGAAAGAGAATATAGTTTCACAGATAAATGCTTCTTATAGAATGAGGTCATGGTCAGTGTTACATATTTAAAAAACAAACAAATTTCTGATTGGTATTAAGAAAACTGGTTGCCTTGTTATGCTGTCTGCATGCATACACACAATACATATAATCTGCACACACAGTAAGTGTATCAACCTGAAAAAATTAGAATGTTGGTACTCTTGGATTCTATGGAACTGGTATTATTTACTTTTCTTTAAAATGAGACAGGCCTGGCATAGTGGCTCACGACTGTAATTGCAGCACTTTGGGAGGTTGAGGTCGGAGGACTGCTTGATCCCAGGAGTTTGAGATTAGCTTGAGCAACATAGTGAAACCCTGTATATACAAAATATATATATATATATATATATAATATATATAAAAATTAGCAGGGTGTGAAGGCACAAGCCTTTTATCGGAAGGCTGAGGTGGGAGGATTGCCAGATCCCAGGAGATTGAAGTTGCAGTGAGCCGTGATCATGCCACTGCACTCCAGCCTGCATGACAGAGTGATACCCTGTCTCCAATCAATCAATCAATTAAAATAAAATAAAATGAGATAGGTAGGTGAGGAAAATTGGCTTGATGTGTTAGGTACTGGTGAGTTAGAATCACCAAAGATGAATTATTGATGAAGCATAAAAATTTAATAATCAGTCCTCCACCTTTACTGCTAACTATAGTGATCTCTAATAGAAATTTTTGATGAAATAGTTTTTAGTTCATTAATACCTTGTCAGATTCTACCACGACTCTCAACTGACATTTGGTTCACTTTGCATTTCCTTGATGTGCATGTCTCTTGTCCCCTGCTACTTCCCTGCCAAATCTGTGGCTCATTCACCCCTCAGGCAACTTTCTCTCCAGGACTTCATGGCTCTTTAGAGCTCCATCTTCCTTATGGCCTAGACACTGAGAATCAAAGAAGTCCTTGTTCCTTTTTGCCCAGTTATCCTCCATTATGTCATTTCTACTCAAATTCATCCCTTTCTCTGATAACTCAGGGGAGAAGTTGACAAGTTTGCAAATTTTCTACCTGGGTAAACAAACAAAACAAAGTATTTCATTTTTGCAGGCTTTCATAAACATTATCAGCTAATTTATCAGGAGCTCCCTACATTTTCATTAGGGACGTACATTCCACTTTTATGATAAAAATTATGCTGTTTTTTTCCATCAGAGCCACATCTCTGACCTCAGAGACCTTTTCTTACCTTGACCTGGGTGGCCGAAAACATAATAGTTGGGGGGATGATCCCCACCTTTGGGGAGGTGATTGATGCTAAATGTTGGCAGGCCTTTAAAATTCGTTGAAACAGTAATGTCAAGATTTCAGTGCTTTCATTTTTCTCCTTCATGTCTGCGTCTTAGGCACAATTCTAGAACAGGAGGAAAAAACCCTGTTCTTCAGCATAACACTCCTTTTCCCTTGCATTATCTTAAATTTCGACCTGAAATATTAATCTGCCTCTTCCCATGGGTCAATTTAAGTGGACAGATCCTTGTAATGATGGCAGAGACTATTTTATTTTTAGCAAGAATGTGCATTCCAAATGTTATTGGTTGGCTATGAATATAATTTTATCCTAGTAAATATTCTTTGCCTTAGTGCAGCTTGTCTTAAATGTTCCCAAATGTTAGAAAGATACAGTGCAAATAAACACCTAACTTCTATCTAAAATCAAATAGAAAGAGTCAGAATTTTGTTAAGTACTACACTGAAAAATTAGCATAATATTATATAAATTATGACTCTTACATATGGTTACTTTGTGTCTTATTATCAGCCAAAACAGAAAGGCAAATGATATAAGACTCCCAAATATCAATATATTTTCAATAGATGTTTTCATATTGTAAATTTCAGTAGTATCAGTTACTGCATTGAAATTTTAGCTTTAATTTTTTGCAGACTAACTTCACCTAAAACATTTCTCTCTCACCATATATATATGCATACATATATATATGCGTATGTACATACATAAATACAAATATATATATTTCTTGCAAGACATGTTTTGGTATTTGGGGATTTTACACAAACTCATATCATACTTGTTTGCCAAAATGTACAAAGTCATTTGTTTTACAGTGATGATAATGGATCAGATTAATCCTCTACCTCTCCATGTTGTGACCATTCTTTGGGATTGCTAACATATTTAAAAAGTTGGTAGTTGATGTTAGGTATATAGTCATGAGCAATAGGACACATTTAACTCCTTTATATCTGAATTGAATAAAAGCAGTCTTGTTTCATCAGTAAATTGAACCTCAGAATGTTAAATTTTTTTAGCAGGCTTAATATATGCTTCCTTATTTGGAAGGATCCTATCACAGATTATAGAAACATTAAAATATACTCACACTACCAATATAGGTTGCATTGAGTGGAATTTCAGTTGATAACATTTAAATAAACAAAACCACTTACTTTGATTTTTCAGTTTTCTTTTTACATTTCAGAATACATGGGTGTGTGAGTGTGTATGCACACCCAAATACAGATACAGTTTCCAAAATGAAATGCATATTCAGCATCTTAGTAGGTTTTGGAAAAACTTGAAGGACCTAGACATTTTCCCTAATGATACATTTCCCTTAATGCATTTAGCCTAAAAAATTTATAGGAGATTGCTCTACCCTTGTCAGATTTCCTATTTTATTTGTGTCTTTATTTACCTCATGTAGTCAGGCTTACCAGCAGTTGTTTAAGAGGAAGTCTAATTAATCACCAAACTACCAAATGGGAGCATGCTACAGAAACACAGTTCAGCCACAGGACAGCACAGGAAAATTCTGATATAAAGAATCATTAACTAATAAAAGACAGTTAAATTCATTTTAAAAACATGGGTAAAAGAAAATGCCAAGCAATACAGAATTAACAAATGCAGACAGAACATCTACTTTTAGGGGTGCAGTGTCACCATTTCCAGAGTCAGGAAGAAACTGAGGACTTGGAAGAGCACCCTTTTGCCCTAAGACCAGTGAATTCCAACCTCACTGGAGGGGTGCTGCTGCTATAGGAACATGCAGCTAGCTACTGCTGGTGAAGAAACATGTGAGGGTATACGCTGAAGCTGGTCCACAAAAATATGCTGCCTGGGCTGAAAACTCATAGCATGCCAATCCTTTGAAGCTGTCCCGAAAAATGACAATGCGGCTGACCCAGAAAGAGACTAAGAAAGAAAACTCCCTTCTCTTGTTATGACATTGGAGTGTCCCTCTAGCACCCTCTATTGACAAAGACTGACATTGTGTGAGCTGGTAGAGGAGCAGTATAGGGTCTATCAGGTATCATAAAGGAAAGAAAAGAAGGGTGGATTTCAAGTTAAGAGGCAGTACACAGATAGCTGATATACTAATAATGTGTAACACAGGGAGGAGGACGGAGAGTGTGGACCAGGAGATAGCTTGATCAATCAACAGGTACTGTTGATATTTGTCCAAATCTAGACAAGAAAGATGAACCTGGGAAAAATTGCAGTTGAATAACCTGTATACACAAGTAACACAGACACATGTAAACACACGCATTTACTCACATTTTAAGTCTATTAGGGAAGATGGTGTTCAATTGAAAAACATATATACATTTTATAAGGAGAAAAGATTTGGTCTTCATGATGATTGAAAGAAATTGTTTCCATCTTGACATTATTTTTACTGGAAAGCAAGATAAGTAATGAGGCAAAGTTTGAATTTATGTTTAGTGTGGATGGCAAGCGTGAGCAATGAGACCTGGTTGTGACACTCAATAAAAAGAAATGTTATAATGATGGGGAGGGAAAACACAGCCATATTATTATGTACAAGTCAAAGTGAATGTGGAGATAGCTAATGAATATCTTACAGAAGCAATTTGTTAATAAGAAAACAAGTATGACCGGGTGTGGTGGCTCACGCCTGTAATCCCAGCACTTTGGGAGGCTGAGGTGGGTGGGTCACAAGGTCAGGAGTTCAAGACCAGCCTGGTAAAGATGGAAAGATGGTGTAACCCTGTCTCTACTAAAAAAAAAAAAAAAAAAAAAAGTTAGCCTTTCATGGTGGTAGACACCTGTAATCCCAGCTACTCAGGAGGCTGAGGTAGAGAATTGCTTGAACCCAGGAAGTGGAGCTTGGAGTGAGCTGAGTTTGTGCCACTGCACTCTATCCTGGGCAACTGAGTGAGACTCTGTCAAAAAAAAAAAGAAAGAAAAAAAGAAAAACAAATTTAGTATGTTTATTAGTTTATTTAGTTTTTTAATAGTTTCATTAACAAAAGGGGAAAAGGATATGAAAGGACATTTCTTACAATGACATACATGTAGCCAACAAGCATATGAAAAAATGTTCAACATCGCTTATCATCAGAGAAATGCAAATCAAAACCACAATGAGAGATCATCTCACCCCAGTCAGATGGCAATTATAAAAAGTAAAAAAAAAAAAAAAATCATGTTGGCAAAGTTGTGAAGAAATGGGAATGATTATACACTGTTGTGGGAATGTAAATTAGCCACTGTGGAAAGTGGTTTGAAGATTTCTCAAAGAAGTTAAAACAGAACTACCATATGACCCAGCAATCTCATGACCATCAGTAAGACATATACACTTGTATGTTCATTGTAGCACTATTGCTACTTTTAGGAGCCTAGCTGATA